ACTTCAATTCATCATTTAATAAAAACCACTCAACATGATCTCAAACTCCTTTACAAATTGTAAATAATCAGCCGGGTTTCCATCAAAACACCGTGGTTCAAATTTAGGGAGTTTGATGTTCCTATTATCCCTGAACGGCGAAACAGTAACATCAACCATGTCATGCTTAACATCAGACACATCGTTACAATTAACAGACAAGTCACCATGACTTACTTTCCTGTTTGCATCCAAGACACTCTGTCCCTTCTTTGACCCAGGCATTGTTGAACTTGACCCAATTCCAAAAAGTTCCAGATATTGCTTGTTCAAAGAGGACTTGACCGGCACCAGGAAAAATGAACGGCGACTATCCAAACTTTCACCAACTGTTTGAATCCGCCAGATCTGTTTCCATCGTCAGAAACTGTCAGTTACGTCTCATAAACCGTTAATGCCCAGCTCTCGCTACGCTCGGGCCCACGCTGTTCCTTGGAGTTTCAGAAACGCTTAGTTATAACGGACGCAAAAACCAAAACACCGATCTGCTGCTTGTTGTTTCTTTATTGTTACACCAACATATAAAAGGAATAAACGAACTAAGCAACTAAGGTCTGTAAACAAATATTACAATAATAAATCGTTATGTTACTTCTGACGATGTTTCACTCTTCTTTCTGAACAGCGACCGATGAGACGATGACTGTCGTATTGATGCCTCCGCGAAAATCGAGGAAGTTGATTTTGAGCAAACAACCAAGAATTGATCGTTCAATCTTCAACTCCATTGACAGGTGTAGTCGTTTTTCCCTGCACGAATCCTTTTGATCTTTTTCTCTCGTTACAGAGAATCAGTAGAAGTTTTTTATCCTAATTTTTCATCTCTTTCACCTCAATCTACTGTGCGTCGGTGGCACAGTGGTTAGAACTCTCGCCGACCATGCACATCGTCCGGGTTTCGAGCCCACGCCGACGCACACCTGATATCTTTGTTTGGCCTGCAAAATTTGGGCTACCGATATCCGCGCTGAAAATTCCATACCTGTACCAAAAATACAGTGTGGAATCAAGCTGTAATCAAAAATAAAAATAAATAAATAAATAGACCGGTTGGCCTCTAATGTCATCTCGTAACCCACACCAATTGAGGAATTACGAACAGTATATCACTGCACAATTTCTTCAAAAAAATTATTGAAAAAACTAAAAAAAGTTTTAAAAAATGTGGAAATAAATAAATAAAAAATTAGAAAATTAAAAAAGTCTAAAAATTATTATAAAAAAAAACTTCCACTGTATAGTTAAATGGACCGATATATATTTTTTGGGCATAAATGCGTCACTTCTATGCTATGCATAGTAATCCGCTCAATTTATTTTCACAGGCTGTACTATATTCCTTCGGGTTTATGCCCTCCTGCAATTCATTTATTTTGGGAGCCTTACTTGTAAACATCATGCATCATCTTGGTCATACAGTTCGCAACATGAACAAAAAATTTTGTAATAGCAACCACTCATGGCTATTGGTTATGTACATACTTCCCTGTAATTTTATAGGTTTTTACAGGTTAGCAACTTCCTTTGTTTTTTTTCACTCTGACGTATTACTTCCATGTTACACCAGTATTCCTCGCATTTATTCCGCACAAGCTTTTGCAGTACCTTTACGCCGATTTTGAAAGCTTAACTTCTTCTCCCATTCTCTTCTGTTGCTTGATTTTATTTTTTAATTTTAATTTTATTTTTGATTTACAGCTTGATTCCACACCGTATTTTGGTACAAGTATGGAATTTTCAGCGTGGATATCGGTAGCCCAAAATTCGCAGGCCGACCATAGATATCATGTGTGCGTCGGCGTGGGCCCGAACCCCGAACCATGTGCATTGTAGGCGAGAGTCCTAACCACTGTGCCACCGACGCACACCCTGTTCCTTCTCATACGCTGGTATAATTATTGCCTTCAACATTGCTGCTAGGTTCTGTTGAAGCGAAGGAAGGCAGCATTAGTCTAAAATGAAAATTAGACATAATGAGTCACCTTCCTGCTACGACAGCCTGGGCGGCGGAGGTATACTATCAGACCTCCACATAAGTAAGTTCGTAATATTTTAACGAAAACAAGTCGATAAATATAAATACAATAAAAAATACCAAAAAATAAATAAAATATAAAAGACAAAAAGGAACAAAAAATTAAAGATAAAAAAGAAAAGAAAAAAACAAAAGAAAAGAAGCTTACAACCACACAAGGCACCAGCGTCATTTCTTCTTATATTCCGTCTTACTTCACTAATCATGTACATACTACTTCCAACTTACCTTATTCTTTTTTCTTCTGCTTTCTTTCCTTTCGCAAAAAATTTTTTGATTACTATCTTCAAACCTTCCCGTTCACTCACTGCTATTCTAGAAAGCCGTCCTACTTTTGTATCTCGAAGCTTGCTGGTTTCCCCACCAACATTCTAAGGGGGGGGGGAATAATCTGTAGTGCACATTGTACCCTTGAACTTTTGTTTAACCTCGCTCACCCATCGTTTGGCACATCTTCACCTTTTGAGTTGTGACTCCTCCGTACGTTCATTGGTCCGCTCTCTCGTTGTGCATTCATTCTGCACACTCCCCGAGCCTACCACCAGTGACGTCAGCAGATAAGTTGTACAACCTCTTTATTTATCAAATTTCATATATACAAATAAACTGAAAAATAATGTCCTCCTTAACTTCTGAACAACTTGTCCTTATTCCATGATTATAACTTCCCTTCACCTATGAGCCTGAGTTATGTCTATGAAATCACAATATTACATCAGTTAAATCTTCCCCCAAGACCGAGGCCACTTGAAACCAATAGCAACATAGCAACGAGCGTCATTGAGGGGATATGCAGTAAAGTCGCTCGGCCATGTGCCTTTGTAAGTCCAAACGGTCAATATCTCGCTAGTTTGGAAATGGTTGAAATATTCAGTTCAGCCTTTACCACACATTCAACAGCAAACCGGGTATAACTGGTACGGACCAAAATGCCGCCACTACAATTTCACTGGAGGAGAACCTAGCGGCTACTCTCCAGATAAACCTGGAAATAGTACTAGGAAAGCTACAGAGACTCACACCTGGAAGGTCTCCAGGCTGTAATGACATCGGGCCATCTGTTCTTGAAAGGTGCGCCGATGCACCGTGTAGGCCCTTATGCGACTTGATCCAAAATTCTATAGATTCCGGGAAACGGCTAAGGGAGTGGAAAAGAGCCATCCTTACTCTAATTCTCAAGGATGGGGACAGGTCAAATGCCACCAGTTATAGACCAGTAGAGCTACTCCCATTGGTATCAAAGGTGTTGAAAAGTATAATTAATGATCACACCAGGGAGCACCTCGACACTACTGGTACACTCCACGAAGCACAACATAGTTTCGAGAGAGGCAGATCCTGTGTAACAAGCCCACCATCAGCTTGATACGATTGGACATCATGCTGGAATATGCATATTCCAGTCCGTGTGATCCTCCTGGACATCGAGAAGGCATTTGACGCAGCTCCCCAAGACCTTCTCCTACACAAAAGTCAGGCAGGCACAAGTGGGCCGGTTCTGCCATGGTTGGAGGACTACCTACATGAAAGGAAATTCTGCACTAAGGTCAATCGAGTCCTATCGCCCTGACACAATTCATCATCACGAGTGTCGCTGGAGCCATTGACGTTTCTGATTTTTATCAATGACCTACCATGCCATCTAAGCTGCCCGACTCTTCCTTACGCTGATGATGTAAGGATATGGAGGGCAATCAAGTGCTCGAAGGACGCGGATAGACTGCAGGCAGATCCCAAACTTCTGAAAGACTGACTGGTCGTCAGTCGTATGATATTCAACCTGAAGGAGTGCAAAGTGATGAAATTACGTACCTGTAGGCTTCAGAATATAAGCTACGCCCTGTGCAACGAAAGTTGCCCTGCACAACTTTGGAGCCTGACTTAGGTCTAGTCCTAACGGGAAAAATAGACACAAGTGTGAATTACACGGGAATTGTAGCGAGGTCATATGCGGCCATTCAGTTCACATATAGACAGTTAGGTGCACTCTCTCCCAGTTTATATTGGCTTAGAGTAGAAGCGGTGCTGAATAGTGTTATGAGTTCAGCTTCAGGGAAGCATCATTTTGTTGCTACTTTCATCCCCCATTCAATATATTTTGATACTGCTTCCAATATGAATGGCGGAAAAATGAATATTTTTTAATTTCTCCAGTTAGCACATCCCGTAGAGAAATTAAACAAAGGTTGGACAATCATTCAGCGACACAAAGACTGCATTCAAATGGCCTATCCCCTTAAAATCTCATACACTTTTAATGGGTAGGCGTATAAACTCGTCGTCTTACTTCTTCATATCCCCTACTGTCTTACCCTCCTACTTATCCAACTATTACGTCCCTTACACTACTATTATCACTGATATTGTATACATGTATATACATATATACCAACTTCAAATTTCAGTAGCCGTCTGTTTTTACGTTTTCTTTATTTCTTTTTCTGACTTTTAGCCTGAGTAGCCTATACAAATTATATCTGTTATTGTAATTATCTCTTTTCTTTTGTCGAGGATATCGGGTGACAAACTGGTGGAATGATCAACTCCATTCACAATGGCAACATGGTCTTAACACACCGCATACTAAAAACAACACATAATTAATCCAGGCACCACTTCCTTTGGAGTCAACCAAGGTACGACGGTTGAGTTACGGGACGAACTGCGCAGAAGTTTACCGAAGACCGGAAATATTTGCCTCGCAACCCAGAAACGAGCACAAAGAGATCAAAGTGGTTCACACTCGCTCATGTAAACGATATTGGACATTGTATATCAAGTGTGCAGTGTGACGGACCTAATCGTAGACTAAGCTGTTAACTATATATCCTGCTTGAATGCAAAATAGCGTGGAAAATCTCTAAACCTCGTGCAGTTTGCAAGGAGATTCTGTAAGTATTGCTTCCAGTTGTTATAATACTTTGGTGGGTTATAAGGTTGCACCCGCTGGAATTAAAACCATTGACCTGTTGGTAACATTTTTCTCATGTCGGATGCTGATACCGCGTCGTTGCTCAAGTTGACTGAAAATGTACTCCAGGATTATCGAAGCCTTATTTCAGAGACAAAGAGGCGATTTGTCCCCATTAAAGAAGTAACTGATATACATATCGTCAATATTTTAGGCTGCGGAGTTACAAATTCCAAAGCTAAGAGCGATCATTAATAGTGATTCTGATCTCCGAGAAAGTGAGTGTCTTAATTTTCTTTCGCTGCATACTTTAGGTCTCAAAGCATCATGTGGCTCTCTGATATCACCCTTCTTAAGTGGTTGTCTTTCGAAAAATCAGAAAGTAATAGTACTGTGTATGACAGCTCTGCAGCGTTTCATAAACCAAAAGTGTTTGTCAGAGGTAAATCTATTTTTTATTATATGTTTAGGATGCTGCTCAATCCATCATTGATACGCTCTGGCAACTGACGGAGTCAAATTTGGAAGAACTCCGTCTGTTGCAAACCACGATACTACTCCTCACAAGCTCACCCTTGGTTCGAGATTCCCTACTTGCCAAGGTACTTTTATAGCTGCCTATTTTTCGGCTTAATGAGTTTTTTCAAACGTTCTTCCAAAAGCACCATCCTACATGGTTGAATTTTTAAGATCATTTTGATTAAATAAGCATTTATATATATAGGCATTTAACGGTCAGCCTTTATTGTAGATAAGAGTTTTATTTTGACAAACGATGTGGTATAGTGCTCGAAGGGTCATCAGTTGATACTACTGTATAACGCTGTTTGATTTGTCAAAATGAAGTCTTATGTATGGCGGTGTTATATTCCATTACCGTGCCCAAGTTTTTATACATATATTAACGGGGAACTTTATTTTTCCAGTCAATATTTGAGTGTATGCATCGATTTCACATTCTATTCCTGTTTAATTCAATAGTTTCAATGGTATTCAGTGTGAGTATAGTAGTTTCTTGTGTGTCTAAGTTTGATCTAGTGGTATATTCCATCTAAACGTAGATATATGTGAACGAGTCTGTATTAGCAGTAGACGTCTTATTCTTTAGAAGATAAATGTTCATGTCTGATCGTGTGTTAAAGGTCTCGAAAAGCACAAGTGGGCTTTACGCTTCCTTCGTCCAATTGGTTTTCTGATTTTGTAATCATATTGCTAAACTAAAACCCACGATTATTTAAGAAATGTCGTATAAGGTAAAAGTATACGAAGTGGATGATGTTTCCTCGATTACTAGTTTAATTGGTCTATTTTTACTGCCATAATTACTACAAAACTAATATCTTTGTGTTTTACAAATGACTGACACTTTTTTCTTATTAATGGAGTATCTCATGATTCATTATTATCCTATGATATCTGTGTCATACTTGAAATGTATATGAATCAAAATATTTTCACTTTATCTAAAATACTTTTCCTTTACTTTATTCCATAGGCTTTTACTATTTGCCTAAAACTGCATCTTTCGAAGACACCAGCTACTGTAAACACGGCCGCAGCAGCTGTACGCCAATGTGCTAGCACTATTTTTGACCGTGTATTTAAAGATGAGCTAGTCGTGCAACCTGTAGATTCTACTAAAGAAAGAACACCTTGTAAGTTAATGTTTCCAAATTAACCAAGAAGTTTTTCTTTTTCAGCACTTCAAAGTTTAACTATTTATTGTATTTATAAAAATACTCCCCTAATAACACTGTTTCTTGAATAGCATAGATATCATTGTTTCTTCACAATTTACTAGAGTTGTTCGATAAAAAAATTTAGTCTTTCTTAAAGCCGATATCTTGTTAGACAAGTTTTGCTTACTTCTGCCTTTCTTGTGCACCCACACACAGAGATTTTTTTCATAAATAATCAGTTTTTGTTTTTCTTCACGTTCCCCAGTGGAACATAGGGCTTCAAGCTAGTGGCTTGAAGTTTCTGTAGCAATGTTTATTTCACAGGACGGGATTGCTAGCCTCATGCCAAACCTCTCCTCTTTACTAGCATTATTTCTAGCTCGGCGAGGTAAAGGAGTGCGTCGGCTGGGTACCGAACCGCGGACCATGTACATGGTCGGCGAGCGTCGTAACCGCTATACCACCGCCGCAAAAATAATCAGTTAATGCTTATTATTTAACAATAATATCGATAATGAGCATTGTATGTTTCAGCTACAGTGGATGATATACTCCCTGTCAATCCAAATGAATTGAAGCCATCTGAAAGGGATGCATATATGCTATTCCAGGTAAGCATTACAAAACGTATTTTTTTTTTACCTAATTCATGTCGATTTTTGTATATATGCTATAGTAGTAAGTCTAGACATTCTACACATGTTACAGTTATAATATTGAATTTCTAACATTTCTATTTCTCTGATAAAAAAAGAAAAGAAACAAGAATGAACGCATAGGGCCTTAGAGTTAGCACAAGATTCTCTTTTTTTAAAATAGTATTCCTGCTGAATAGGTATGCAACTCTGTGAAGATTGATGATACCCTGTTGAATATTATTGACGGTATTCTTTAATGTTTCAACTGGTAAGCTCAAATGAAGACTGAATTGTAAATTAAGCTTCTGGTCTAATGTTAGGTTATCTTATCTGTGTGCGGGCTGCGCTATTCTACGCCTGTGAAACCTGGCCTCTCCGAGTAGGCTGAGGATGTGCGGCGACTCTGCGTGTTCGATGATCGCTGATTCCGCAGGATTGCTAGCGTGAGTAATTCTGAGGTTCGGAGGCGTGTGTCTGAACACAGTGGAGATCACCATTCATTGAGTGTCGTGATCTGGAAACACCGGCTCCGATGGCTTGGACATGTGCTGCGAATGTCATCCTAGAGGCTTCCGTACAGGTCTCTGTTCGCTAGCTAGCCTTGGGACGGGATGGAGAAAGCGGAGAGGTGGTCAGTCCATGACGTGGCGTTATGGGATGAAGGATTTTTGTGCTAGGTTAGCATCGGTTGGTGTGTCACGACTCCCTGGTTGGGGTCCGAGAGATGGCACAAATCGATGGCTCGAAACGCTATCGGATATGGCCAAGAATCGTAATCAATGGTGAATGTTGCAATTTCCTTCTTTCTTCTCTTCCTGATGATAGTTAACGAATACTGTTTGAACATGTTAGGCATGACTGTCTTCCTTCCAGATGAAATTCTTTATCCATTCTCTACTTATATATATATTTTTCTTTTCCTTCCTTTTTTTCTTTTGATCTATGTTGTTATATTATTATTGTATGGCGCATCCTTCTTGGTGCCATATTGTACCAAGTTTTTTATGCGTTTAAATAAATAAATAAAATTATCTGTGTTACTGCTTATCAATATTGTACTGTTGTCCAAGTGAGCTATAGTTATAGTCTGATCTACTAAAATTTTCACTTTTTTGTTTTCACCTAATATTATTATTATTACTAGAAAAGATTTGCGGACTATTTTTTTTGTTTTGATATCCTTTCTTTTCCCAATAGGATATTTGCCTACTGATGAGCGATGATTCATGTGTTTGGCTGCGTGGTCCAATACAACTAAACAAGGTTTTAGGCTTGGAGTTAATAGAATCTCTCATTTTCTCATATCCTAGTTTATTTTGTCAAGTAAGTATGTTTTAATTCGGTATTTTATTGAAAGCTAAAATTGCTAGTGAGCTTTTTGATAACAAATATTGAATTCGGATATCAATCAATTTTAGTAATAAGTAGTTTGCGAAAATTTCAAAGTATGCCTCCTTTTATTGTTCTAAGAAGTTAAGTAAGATTGCTATATATATCTCAGTGTGAATACTGTCATATGGTAGACGCTTACGAAGTTATCGTGGTTTGTAATACATATATATATATATATATATATATATATATATATATATATGTGATGTATGTACATATGATCAGCCTGTTGTTTTGAGATTCAGATAGCTTGGTTAACGTTCTTATACTAAATCTCCGAGTCTAGTGATGCAGTGACTTCATTTCAGGTGTTTTTTTTCAGGATTTCATCATGAGCTGACATTAGTTAGAGAACCATTTGAAAACCACCTGGGAGTACTGGACAGTTGTTTCGTCCTGGATTGGGCTCTTCATCAGCACGCACCCCCACAGCCAGTTCGAACCCAGTGCCTTCTGGTTACAAGGCTAGCTAGCTCGTATGCCATTAAGCTACTGGGACCCAATCCAATGACCAGTTCATGAATTCTAACTTCACGACATAGTGCGACCCCTAGCCAATGTCTTCGGGGAGGATTTGTCCTGACACCTGACCTGCTGCACCCTACTGGTCACGACTTCTCACTAGAACCCCAGGTAACTACCTAACCGAATAGGGAAAGTCGCTAGTGAGCATCTCATTGATATCCAAGTGTTGGTTTGTAGGGATTTGATTGGTTACGGGATTTTCATCATGAGCTGACATTAGTTAGAGAACCATTTGGAAACCACCTGGGAGTACTTGACAGCTGTTTCATCCTAGTTTGGGACTCTTCAATAGTTGGGATATGCATTTACAGAAAGCAGAGTATGTATGATAATGTATATTAATGTATTAAAATGAAAGAAAATTCACGTAAATTAATTAAATCCTTCCTGTTGTTTTTTCTTTTTTTAAATCTAGCACCCAGCATTTGCATATTTGTTGAAGACTAATTTATGTCCCCTAGTGATTAAATTATTTTCTCCCAGTTTAAAATTACATTCAACGCCTTTAGCTGCATCCAGTGGTGGTGGTGGTGTTGGTAGTGGGATAGCAGATGTCGCGTCAGCTGCATTTGCTGCTGCATCAGCTGCACTCTCAAGTGTCAGTGGGGTGGCTTCATCATCATCCGGAATATCAAATGACATGGCGATAAATGGTGAAAAACCGAATTTTGCCCTGTTTGTCCGCTTGAAACGTTTGATTATCGTCATTGTCAATCATTATTTCCATCTATTAGTAAGTTTAAGACAATATTTTGTACTAAATAAATGATACGTTATATATATATATATATATATATATATATATATATATATATATATATATATATAAATTGAAACATTATTTGATAACCCACTTAACTTTGATATCACAGATTCTAGAACATAGGCATGCTTACCGGCGTCCAACAATCATTATATTTCTTGACCTAAAGGCGGAATTTGATTCTCTCGACCGAGAGGTACTCTTGCGATGCTTGGCTGTAAAGGGAATGACGAGAAAATACATTGCACTGCTTAAGGCACTCGCTCTACTCGAAGTCACGAGGGCTTAAGGCGAGTTGTCATCCGAAGTGGTGGTGACTAGTAGTGTCCATCAGGGATGCCCATTATCCCCATTTCTATTCAATTTCATCATAGGTGTACTAATGGACTTAACCCTAACTCACTTCAGAGACTCAGGGATTGACCTTTTACCAGGGAGTAATCTCGATGACTTAGAATATGGAGACGATATATTCCTACTAGGCGAGGACGCTGACAAAATAGAGCAGTCTTCTGAACACCTTGGGCAGCAGTCGTCGAATGTTTGGCATGCGATTCGCTCCCGCCAAATGTAAGATGACGTTACAGGACTGGAGCACACTGACTCCTACTTTTAAAAATAGGGAGTGAAGTGGTAGAGCACGTTGACCGCTTCACTTATTTGGGAATTACCATCAGCCAGTGCCAACGGGTTGATCTCTGACGAAATCTCAGCATGGATACAGAGGGCTAGTTTCGCATATGCCAGTTTACGCCGTCTCTGTGTTAGTAGACGTGATATCCGACTATCGACCAAAGGGCGGGTGTACTGCTCATCAATCCGCTCCGTCCTCCTTTATGGCTGTGAGTGAGACCTGGCCACTGAGAGTGGAAGACATGAAAAGACTAGCTGTCTTTGATCATAGGTGATTGCGTTCTATCTCCCGTGTGAAGTGGTATAATAAGGTGAGCAATATTGAGGTTAGGCATCGGTGGTCGAGTGGTGGGTAGGTGGGAAGGGAAATCAATCGACGAGGCTGTGAAATTACATCGACTGAGGTGGTTAAGACATGTGTTACGTACGTATTCCTAGTCATCGCCTTCCCGACAATGGGCAATGTTAGGTGACATAGGGTTAGGCCGAAAAAGCGCTATCGGCTGTCAAACCAAAACATGGTACTAGTCAATGAAATCCACAACATTTAGTTTAAGCCAAGTAGGAAGGTGTAGACTTCCTGACAGGTTGGGTTTCTCAGAACGGTAAAAACCAATGGTTGGAAACAATTGGTGATATGGCTCAAAGTGATCGTTCTCAATGGCTGGAGACGATGCATCCACTCCTTGTGACTTATGGTTTCCAATGAAACTATATTGTTCTTCGTTATTACTTTTCCTTCGCCTCACACCTCTGTTTACTGTCTCTATTATGCATTTCTTTTTTATTTTCTTCTCTTTCTTTGTGTGCTACAAGGAGGGAGTGTGGCGACTTAAACTGCCGCACATCGGTGCGAAGTTCCATGTCGAAAACCGACAGACAGGCAGATCATTAATGGGTCTTTGTAGAAGAGAATAGGAATCAAGAAGTTTGACACATCTTTCAACAACATTGTCTGAAGAAGCCGAGCTAAATCAACTTTTCTATTTTTTTACACGTACACATATTGAAGCTTTAACTCAAGGTTGAGCTTTGAAGTTTCAGAAGTGATGATGACTTTTTCGGGTTGGGGTTGCTGCTAGCCTTACACTGAATCTCCCAGGGCTTATTACCGGGTAAACCAGGTTTATATGAGTGCGTTGGCATAGAATCAAACCTGGACCACTCACGTGGTAAGTGAGCATTGTATCATTGAAGAACACTGAAGCACGTAGAAACGGATTATTATTTCTTTTAATTCTTAGAAGAACATAGGACTTCAGCTGTGCGTCTCTATTGAGTTCGGTTCTCTACCAACTTTTTCACCCCGCTCCAAGTCTGCCCACATGTTTTCATCTCCTCTTCACTTGACCTCCTCCCTCGAATTGACGACCAACTCTCCACTTCCCTATCGGGTCCCACTCGAGCAATGGCTTGTCTAGTGATGTCACTTGATGGTTTGTTTTCTCAGAGTACGGCCAATCCATCTCCATTTCTTCCTGACTATTTGTTTCACAATCGGTTCCTGCTGTGTTGGTTCGCTCATTGCCAGAGATCCCTATATGCTGCTAATCTTTTCTGGCCGGCCATCTGATCTTGAGCATTGAGCGAAGACAGCTGTTGATGGAGGTCTGTAGTTTGTTTGAGGTGCTCTTCATGATGCGCCAAGTCTCTTTAGTAGCACTGACTGACTTCACATTGGAGTTGGAAATCCTTATCTTTTTTTGTATGCTGACTGCTGTTGACCTCTACACAGACTTGAGAGTAATGAAAGCCTGTCTTGCTTTCCCGATCGTCACTGCTTTGGTATCCTCGTCAGTTCCATCGGCCTGTAGTTGAAACGATGCTTCCCAGGTCAGTAGATAAAGGAGGTTGTTTCTTTCAGGTTCCTCCCATTTATGCTGGCTGATTGTTGTCAGTTGTTGTTGTTGCTGGAGCTGTTGGTATTGCCCAGGAATCATCACCCCTGTTTTTCTCTATGTTTACTTGGAGTCCAATCTTTGATGCTTCTTCTATCGCCAATTTATTGCTTTTCATTTGCATATCTTCCAGTTTGTGGGAAATCAGACGTATACATATCATCGGCGAAGTCCAGATCCTTCAAGGTTCTTGTGTATGCCCATTTTATACCTGTTTCCTCGCTGCCTAGCCCCTTTGTCTGTCGCATTATCCAATCTACCGCTCTCAATCAGGAAAATCATTGGCGATAGTAGACAGCCAGCTTGTCTTACTGCCGTCCTCCAGAAACCGATATCTGGTAGAAATTTTAAGCGGGTGTGAGTAGAGTGTTTTTCTTAAAATAAACATGGGTCATACCGTACGAATTACGGGATTAAAGATTGATAATTGTTAAAAAAATACGGATGTGTTTGATGTAGCAAAAAAAACGAAAGTCTCCCTCTTTTTGATTGCTGTCTTTTTCAAACGTATATATTACCACTTATTTTCATTTGTGTTTTATTATTTTGGTGAATAACCCATTCACCATACATTTAGAATACAGAATGTGAAATCTACCTATCATTACTTATACGCTTTTTGGATGTAAATAAATTATTATGGCAGCGTGCATTGGCACTGGAAGTATTGTATAAAATTGTAGAGCAACCTGAATTGGTTAAGTAAGTATGCGTGTTTCTACTCTTAAAATGCTGTTTCTTTGTTTGTTTTGTTTGATATATTTTTTTAATTTATGAAAAATTCCCATTCAGACATTAATATAGACAGAAGACCAGTAGTAGTTCAGCGAAGAGTCTCTTTTCTCTCCGGCGAATTCATTTTCATAGCTGTACAATCGCATATATATACATATAAGATCCGGATTTTCAACTCCAATGTGAAGTCAGTCAGTGCTACTATACGAATCAGAGACCTGGGGCGTCATAAAGAGCATCTCAAACAAACTACAGACCTTCATCAGCAGCATTCGACTCTGTCGATCGGGAAGTTCTCTGGAGATGCTTGGCTGTAAAGGGAATTCCGAGAAAATATATTGCATCGATTAAGGCACTCTACTCGTACTCATACAGCCAGATGAGGGCTTACGGTGAGCTGTCATCTGAACTGATAACGACCAGTGGTGTCCGTCAAGGATGCCCATTATCTCCTTTTCTATTCAACTTCATCATAGATGTGTTAATGGACTTAACCCTAGGTGACTTCAGTGACTCAGGGATTGACTTGCTACCGGGGAATAATCTCGTTGACTTGGAATATGCAGACGATATAGTCCTTCTAGGCGAAGACGCTGACGAAATGCAGAGTCTTCTAAACACCTTGAGCCGCAATCTACGAATGTTTGGCATGCGATTCGCTCCCGCCAAATGCAAGATGATGTTACAGGACTGGACTACATCGACGCCTAATTTAAAAATAGGAAGTGAAGTGGTAGAGCACGTTGACCGCTTCACTTATTTGGGAAGTACCATCAGCCCCAACGGGCTAATCTCTGACGAAATCTCAGCACGGCTACAGGGGGCTCGTTTCGCATTTGCCAGTTTACGCCGACTCTGGTGTAGACGAGATGTTCTACTATCGACCAAAGGGCGGGTGTACTGCTCATCAATCCGCTCCGTCCTCCTTTATGGCTGTGAGTGAGACCTGGCCGCTGAGAGTGGAAGACATGAAAAGACTAGCTGTCTTTGATCATAGGTGCCTGCGTTCTATTTCCCGTGTGAAGTGGTATAATAAGGTGAGCAACATGGAGGTTAGGCGTAGAGTTCTAGGTAAACAGGGGAAATCAATCGACGAAGTCGTGAAGTCGTGATATAAGAGGATAGTAACAAAAGTGATGAGTTGTCACAAATGATTGTTAAAAAAGAGTTACATAATGACGTGAATAATATGATGAAAGAGTTGTGCTCAGGGTGTACAAGGAAACAAAATAACATACGGCATTATGCAAGGGTTTTAAGTAGTTAGAAAAATAAGCATACAAACAAAAGTTACCGTGGCCATAGTAACGTTCTCACTATAATTTTACTTCGTTTTATTATGCAAGTTTATTATTATTGTTATTAATACTTTTATTATCATTATTATTCCCATCATCTATATTTTATTATCACTCTATTACCGTTTATTAATAGCATTGCGTTTCCATGCAGCTTCTATGAAAACACTGTATCGTCGTACCACTAGTTCTTGTCCACTCTAAACGATCTTAATGATTAATCATTATCTCACATTTATTACGTCATGCTAACTTTCGCCTCTTTTCTAACTTACAATTAGTCATCCCTTCTAGGTTACATCTTACATTACGTAATATATTTTTCGAGGATAAATTTTACCAGTATCTGATTGGTCGTCTTATGAATTCTTTACAAAATCTAATTACGGTTATATAGCTTATGAAAATGTGCGTCGATGGCACAGTGGTTAGAACTCTCGCCAATCATGTGCATACTTCGGACGCACACTTGATATCAATTGGTCGGCCTGCAAAATATGGGCCCTACCGATATCACATACTGAAAATTCCATACCTTTAGCAAAAAATGCGGTGTGGAATCAAGCTGTAATCAAAAGAGGAAAAAAACGAATCGTCGGAAAGAAAAGTTTCTTCTCTGTTTACGCCTTCTTCTTACGACTCAGTGTGGGAATATTTCGTTCACTTTTACTTTTAACGGAGGGTTGACGGATGAGATTTCGAACCGTATAATGAAGCCTAGGGTGGCATACATCATCTTGAGCCGCCACCTCTGGTGCCGTCGTGACGTTAGCCTGGCTGTCAAAGGTCGGATATACATTGCTTCGGTGCGGGTTGTCTTGCTCTATGCCTGTGAAACGTGGTCCCTCCGAGTAGGCTGAGGATGTGCGGCGACTCTGCGTGTTCGATGATCGCTGATTCCGCAGGATTGCTCGCGTGAGTAATTCTGAGGTTCGGAGGCGTGTGTCTGAACACAGTGGAGATCACCATTCATTGAGTGTCGTGATCTGGAAACACAGGGTCCGATGGGTTGGACATGTGCTGCGAATGTCATCCCAGAGGCTTCCGTACAGGTCTCTGTTCGCTAGCTAGCCCTGGGACGGGATGGAAAAAGCGGAGAGGTGGTCAGTCCATGACGTGGCGTCGTGGGATGAAGGATTTTTGTGCTAGGTTAGCATCGGTTGGTGTGTCACGACTCCCTGGTTGGGGTCCGAGAGATGGCACAAATCGATGGCTCGAAACGTTATCGGATATGGCCAAGAATCATAATCAATGGTGAATGTGTTGCAATTTCCTTCTTTCTTCCCTTCCTGATGATATTTGACGAACACTGTTTGAACTCGTTAAGCATGACTGTTTTCCTTCCAGATAAAGTTGTTTATCCGTTCTTTACTTATATTTTTTATACTTTTGATCTATATTGTTTCATTATTATTATTCTGTGGCGCATCCTTCTTGGTGTCATATTGTATATACCAAGTTTTTTATGAGTTTAAATAAATAAATAAAATTCTCTTCTCCCTTCTTCAGACATATTTGCATTTCATATGATATGAGAGAGCATGCAACAAAAATATTTCACGAATTATTAAATACTTTTGGACAGTATATACAAACATCTCTGGCAAATCCTGGCCCCGGAGATGAATTATGTAAGTCGTCTTGTCTTATATATGACTTTTTTCTTTTTCCTTGTACCTGTACCTCATCATCTGCCCGCACTAAAATTGTCTGGTTACATAAGTGAAGAATAATACTGTTTGTCTGACAAATGCAGTTCCTTGGGAACAACACTAGCGAGATACTAACACAGCGCCTTAGAAATGAGGCAGTAAGAAGAGCATTCCCTGCTGCTAAATTACGCCTGTGTCTTCAAAACCACCCACTCCTCTTTTGCGTTCGTTTGGGAGTAAAAGATAAACTGCATAATTTCGCCTCTTCCATGTGTATCTACCAATTTAACTGCTCCTGTGGAGTAAGCCAGTTAAAATTGCATTGGCCGTACAATTAGGCGTGTTTCTCGTCGAATTTCCGAACATCATCCTGCCTGGTGGTTAAGCAAAGGACAAACAACATCTATTCACACAACGCTATTTTGTCGGATCTTGTGGATATAGAACACAAGATTGATGTTAACCATGCTTTCGTGGTCATTTACCGTATACCTACGAATCTCAATTTTGCCTTAAGAGTTCGAATACTAAATATTCCTGCGGCTGGCTGTTGGGTTCCACATTAAGAAGCCTAATTTATGTGTCCAAAAGAAGCTAGTTCAGACATTATCATTACCTTGGTCATCCAGGTTTGAATGATCCTGAATTTTTGTGGGATTTTCCTAATTTTAGTTGATATTCTATTCGCTGTTATGTCTTTATTATTATTATTATTATTATTATTATTATTATTATTATTATAATTCAAGCATCTTTAATGAACTGTAATTCCATTGTGATCTTACTTTCCAAATCGATATTATTTGAAAAACACACTGATATTGTTATTGACTACTAATCTAGAATATTCTGTGTATATAAGCCTATGTGTATATAATTGTAGAGCCAGAAGAGGAGGAATTTTATCGAAAAGAATATTCTTTGTTCGATTATTTTGTGTTTCATATTGTATTTGTTTATATGTATCCCTGGAATAGAGGAGTATTTAGGTGTGATCTATGCAGAATGATTGCAAATTGGCCATTGGATGATTTATGTTCAAATTAATCCCCAGTTCACTTTTTAAAATTTTACATGTGCTTAGTAATTTAGCCTTTAATCAATTTCACGTAAGGAGGACTGACTGGTTTCAACATAGAACAACTTTGCACGGATGTGCAGCAGTTCTAGTTGCCACACTCCCTCCTTCCATGTAGTATACAAAGCAGGAGAAGAAATGTAAAACACACAAAGTAAATAGAGATATGAGGCAAACTTACTTACTTACTTTACTTCGGATATCTCCTACGGGAGGATGAGCCGGCTTCATGAACCATGAAGTTTCATGGGAATTGGGTACGAGTGATGTCCCCAGCATCGCTCGGCCTTTTGTTTGAGAGTGCAGCTCTAGCCTTTACACAACCAAGTGTGACCTACAAGGCAGTAGGAGTGGAGTAGGGAGTCCACTATCCATTGGCAGCCAGCCGGTGACCGGAGTCCGGTTCATTCGCCTTTTTGAATGGGGCCAGTCATCCAGGGCATCCAATAGGCCCTTTGCCCATACGTCTGCCGGTGAGCTCCGGTAAGCTTCATACGCCAGTCGTTGGAGGTTTGTAATCAGGGTTTAGCCATCTCCCCTAGACTGTCATTCAATAGACAGTCAACCCGGTGAAGAGCGCCGGGCATCCGCTTTTGCCCTCTCACTTTGGTGAAAAACACCTCCGCCACGTGAAGGCAATGAGTAGGACTTCCTCAGGAGAGGCTATGTAAGACGCCCGGTCATATGGGAGCATTTCAAGAAGTGTGCGGAGGGGTGGCCAACCCGCAGCGCAAGACACCCACCCCCGACCATCCTGAGGCTTTGGAGGCAAACGGAATAGTAATATGGGGGAAGAATATAGTTTTTTTGGGTGTTATAAGTAAGTCACAAGGAGTGGATGCATCTGCTCCAGCCATCATTGAGAACAACGATTTTGAGCCATATCACCAATTTTCTTCACGAGCTGTCATTGGTTTTTGCCATCCCGAACACCCCAACCAGCCAGGAAGTCTACTCCTCCCAACATGGCTGGCTGGCTGGCATTAACTGATTGTTGTAGATTTGCTTCATTGATTGATGAAGCCATTTTTTGGTTTCACCACTACCTAGCTTTTTTTCAACCTGATCTATCCTTTACCAGTCATCTAACATTTCCCGTCGAGGAAGGCGATGGATGGTTAGGCATGTGTAACACATTTCCTAACCATCTTAATCGATGTAACTTCACAACCACATCGTCGATTGATTTCCCTTCCCACCTATGTAGCACTCGACCACCGATGTCTAACCTCAATATTACTCACTCTATTATACGACAACCTAACACACAAACGGAAGATAGAGCGCAGACACCTATATGATCAAAGACAGCTAGTTAGGCTTTTCATATCTTCCACTTTCACTGGCCATGTCTCAGTCACAACCACAAAGGAGGACGGAGCGAAATGCTGCTGGGCAGTGCACACGCGGTTTGGTCGACAGACAACTGGATATCACGTCTACACCAGAGACGGCATATGCTTAAACGTCAATACCACTGAAGAATTAACAGAATACTGAGGATTTGTTGGGCTTCTTTACTAAGATTTTCTCAAATCTGTATTTGTTAACTTCGCTTGAGAGTATACTGCTTTTTAATGATTCATATATATTTATCCACACATATTATGCGTTGACGTTTCTGTAGCGGTTTGATTGGTTTTTTGTAGGTTAGGGTCGCTAGCCCCACGTCCCCAACTCAAACCTCCCTTTTTATCCAGGCTTTTCGACCGGTTAGAAAACTAGGCGAGGTTATATATGACTATGCCACTATGTTAGGTGATCCACAAGAAATATTCAACAAGTCGTTAGAAGTAAATACAGGAGTAGGACAAGGCTGCCCGCCTATTATCACCACTGATATTCCTAATTGTAGTCGACTGGATTATGCGTCAGACTGTGGGGAGTTAGAAAACAGGAACACGTTGGACCGACAAAAAGACTCTAAAAGATATGGATTTCGAGCGTGGATGATATATGTTTAATGCTACACAAACTGGGAAGACTTGTAGGCAGGCAGACAGACGGAAAGCAACAAACTGACTAAAAAGGGTTGGCTGGCAGCAAAGACAGGACTCCAGGTGAACACAAGGGCGACAGAGTTGATGAAGTTAACCGACCAATCAGCCAACGACAACAACAACAACAACTAGCACCAATCACCATCGACGGGAGCGATTTCACAGAGGTTACTTCCTGCCTTCACTTATCTGGCTAGGAAACATGGTTTCAACCACACACCAGCAGGTCGGATGGAGATGTCAAAGCCAGCCAGAATCGAAAAGGCAAGATTCGCCTTCATCAATCTGAAACCAGTGTGGAAATCTTCTGCACTCAGCATAAAGAACAAGATTCAAATTCTGGTCAACATCAATTGATCAAGTTGGTCCTTCTGTAGGGGGTGAGAAACTTGCACTGAGAGTGTAACGTAAAGGATTTACAACAGATTGGAGACTTTCATCAACAGCTGCCTTTGCTGGCTGTCTATATTGAAAATCAAATGGCCAAAAAGAATAAGTAACGAGGAACTCTGGCTCTGGCAACAAACCAACCAACAGGCAAGAGCTGACCGCTCAACAAATACGTAAGAGAAAATGAAGATGGATAGAGCATACATTGAGGAGACCGCCTAATGACATTATTTCTTTAGACGCACGAGTTAGAACCTGAACGGCAAGCGATGAGTGGGTCGTCCTGGGATGGTGTGGAGGAGATGAGAGATTGTCGGGGATCGTTGACCCATCTGAAGAGGATAGCAGAAGGTAGGACAAAGTGGAGATGTGTTGTTTTTGAAGCCAACCCTATGTTTCACTCGGAACTCAAGGGATTAATAATATAATTTAAAAAAAAAATAATCCAAAAATATTCTCATTGATTTCTGTTTTTTATGTGAAGGGTCACTAGTTTGGACAAAATTTGTTTTCTAGTACTCTTCCATAGCTAAATAGTTCCTTCGTTGATATGATTGATTGACAAGATATGCCTTAAAATTAATACCAGTTAGTCAATAAATTTTCTAAAATCTTGTTCACATTTTTAAGAATAGTAGGAATTTCTTGGATCATGGTGGGCATGTTAAACTATGGCGAAATTTCTGTTACATAGTAAGTAAGTTTCTGAAACCGACTGACATAAAATTATGTTGGCATCGGGTTAATCGTTGATGCTACTCATCCTGCTTAGCAGGTAAAGAAGATTGTTAAAAAATGAGCTGTATGGCAGTTACTACATTGTGTTATGGAGGGAGGGATGCATATCACTGAATAATTGTCAATCTGTTTGACATGTCTGTCTGTTTTCGACATAGAACAACGTGTTGCAACGATGTGCAGCAGTTCAAGTCGCCACGCTCCCTCTCTCCATGTAGCACACAAAGCCAGAGAAGAAAGTAGAAGCAATGCATAATAGAGGCAGTAAACAGAGGTGTGAGACAAAGGAATAGTAATAACGAAGAACGATATAGTTTCATTTGAAATCATAAGTCACAACGAGTGGATTCATCTGCGCCACTGAGGACGATTTTGGGCCGTGTCACCAATCGTTTCCAGCCGGTGACTGGTTTTTACCGTCCCGAGGACCCCAACCGGTCTACACCTTCCTACGTGGCTGGCTAGCTTAAACTAACTGTTGTACATTTCATTGACTGGTGCCATGTTTTGCTTTGACTGCCGCTAGCTCTTTACCAGCCTGACCCTATGTCAGCTAACATTGCCCGTCGGTCGAGGAAGGCGATAACTAAGCCTACGTAACACATGTCTTAACCATCTCAGTCAATATAACTTCATAGCCTCATCGATTGATTTCTCACCCCCCCCCCCCGCAATCTGTTTTACATTGTTGTGAAGAGTTCTTTATATTAATGTTCGGTAAAAATGTTTCACCAATCGTTTACAAATCAGTTCTGTCCTATTTTTCTCGTTGT